CCACACCTTGGACATGGGTGTGCGGGAGTTGATTTTTGACACATATTTCCTCCATGACCGGCGTTTAGTTTGTTTGAAGGTACGTTTTGCCCTGGCATTTGTCATTTTAACAGCATTCAGGTTATGCACTGTAGGATGTTGTCGGAAATATTTTTCCGCCTTCTTCCTATTTTTCCTAGCTTGTTTGCAGTTTGTATCAAACCATGGTTTGCGTATGTGCGGGTTTGCAGAGGACTTAGGAATAGTTTTGTCTCCGATGGCATTTAGGACGTCTGAAAATAGTTCCATGGGGTCAGGAACATTCCTGAAGTTGTCCGGCTTAAGTTTTTCTGAACATAGGGTTTGGAATAAAGGCCAATTGGCCTTAGTAAAATTCCATCTTGTTGATGGTGGTTCATCCGTGGGTTGATAGGAGTAAGAATTGTTGGGAAGTGGTCGCTTCCACAAAGGTCGTCATGGACCGACCATTCAAACTCATTTAAAAGATTAGAATCTGTAAGTGATAGATCGAGAGCAGAGTATGATCCAGTGGCAGGATGGAGGTAGGTGTTTGATCCATCGTTGAAGATGCATACATCATTATTTGAGAGAAACTCTTCAAGGACCTTTCCCTTACTATTTGTATCAGTACTCCCCATAGGGGTTATGGCCGCTGAAGTCGCCCATGATTATGCAGGGCTTCGGGAGTTGATCATATAAGTTCTGAAGATCTGATAGGCGAACAGTTGAGGTGGGAGGGAGATAGAGGGAACATAGTGTAAACCCTATGTTCAGAGTCATGCGGACAGCAACAGTTTGTAGGTTGGTTTTAAGTGGAACAGGGCTGAAGTCTTGACTAGGATGCCCTGCCTCACCAGGATATCAGCGAGCCTGACCATCCGGGATCCCGTTATTAAGCCTTTACGACAAGCATAGTCGCCTTTTATAGCAAGCATGGGTTGCTGAAGGGCTATTCTAATAGACCCGGACCTTCACGGGTCTGTAATGTATGAGGATGACCGAGTGATGGAATTTGGTAGTGAGACATTGTGGTGCCTTAACTGGACTGGGACACTTAAATGTACTATATGTACCTACATGTCCAAGTACTGCAACTTCTACAAGGCGGTGAAGCATATCGAAGCAAAGGGAGTATGCTTGATTAGACACTGCCAACAACAGACTTTGGCTGGCTTGTCGAAATACCACATTGGATGTGAAGGCTTCTTTTTCTGCTGTATTTGTGAAGATACACCTCCCCATTCACCAACAGGCATTCTACAAGCTGAAATTAGTGTAGAGATTACATTAAATGTCAAATCTTAAAATCTATAACATCAATGAGACAGTTGTTAATAAAACAGAAATTCATTTTGAAAGTCCTATGGGTGAAAAAAGGGGTATATTTTTAAAAAAGGAAAGAAAATTATTTCGTTGCATATTCAAAAGGGGACAGGCAGAAAGAATTGATCATATGCTACACTGTTTGCATTTAAAACAAGGGTTTGTGACATGTTCTGCTGTCAGCAGTGAACATATTTCATGATATTCTTATCATTTGACTTCAAATTGACCCTCAGGAGATTAACTTTTTAGACACTCACATTGTTGTGGCAGTGGTGATTTTTAACCTAATTTGTTGTCAAATTCATCAGTTCCAACAAATTTAGAAGCCAGGGAACCCCTACTTGATGGTAAGACTCACCGTGAGGATCTTTTCCGACTGTTCGACCACAAAACGAAGCAACGTTCATATTCTGGACACTAAAACAATCTATTCCACTCAAAACAGCCCTATCTTTACTCCCAGTACCTTTAAATTTGCCTCTACATTAATGCTAACATGTTTCCATGGTGAAATAAACACAGGAAATCATGTAAAGTATGAATTACTGAAAGGTGCTCGAACCCTACAGGTTACACACCACCAAATGTTTTCCCATAGACTTCTATAGTAACCTTATAATTTTTAAAAATAGACAAGCTATCAACAGCCATTCCATGTACACATGGGTACACTCTGGCCTTTAAACTACAATAAAACACAATATCAGGCCAACTTGTCCGGCTCGTTTTGCGAGGACAGGAAGCGGAACACATCAACCCCAGTTCCGCACCAAATGTCACCTACTGGAAAATATCTGTACACACAATAAGCATAAGTCATGGTGATGAAAATGACAGCACTGAATACTTAAAATTGTGGTCAGTTTTAATTGCTGGTTGGATATGCTTTTAAAAAACATAAACATCTTACACTATTTCATCCAATCACAGCTGTCACATGTCTCTATCTCTTCATTTGTTTACATACGCTTCTCGCTCAGTGAGCAAGCGATTCTCATTTAGTGTAGTATAACCTAGTCTCTTTAAGAGCCTTGCTACAATGTAAATGCACAATAACGGGCTGGGCCATGACAGATGCAAATTCATGAGTTCGGCTCGTTTTGCGAAGGACAGGAAGCGGAACATCAACCCCAGTTCCGCGACCAAATGGGTATACTTAAACTCACCCTACTGGAAAATATCTGTACACAATGGCATAAATTGCCATGGTGATGAAAATGACAGCACTGAATACTTAAATTGTGGTCAGTTTAATTGCTGGTTGGATATGCTTTTAAAAACATAAACATCTTACACTATTTCATCCAATCCACGACAGCTGTCACATCTCTCTATCTCGTTCATTTTGTTTTACATACGCTTCTCGCTCAGTGAGTCTCATTTAGTGTAGTATAACCTGAATTCTCGAGTGATTTAGGGTGTAGTATAACTTGACTGGAGAGGTTGGACTGCTTTGTTTACGATTTAGTGGAGGCTGAGTGGCTGAAGTGGGAGCTGACCATCGTAGCAGATATAAAGCGCTATGGATAAATGAAATTGAGTCCCAGGTCAAAATGAGTAGGCTTATATTGGTGATAGGATAGTATTGATAAGTGAAATTTAAAGCTGTCTTTGATATATGAGCTTGTAAGCAGTGGTGTTGTAGAAATTTGGTACATTGGGAAGTTCTAAGTTAGATCTTAAGAAGTAAGTTATTGTGGAGTTTTGTAGGAAGTAGCAGGAAGGAAATTTTTCAAGGTATTAAAAATGGTTTGCTTTCGAGGTGATTTAAAAGATAATAATAGGCGGATTCGATAAGAAGAAGTGGCCAGAAACATTGAGGTATCGGCGTAGATGTAAATTATTGTGGCAATAATATTTTGTGTGAATGTCGGCTCAAACATGACGCCATTTTTTTCTCGAAGTTAACAACTAATTTAATATTTGTTTGTTGAAGAACTCTTTTGTGGCGACGGACATAATGTAAGCAGCTTGAATATGTGGTTTATCTCCTCTTGTGTATTGCAGTGTGTGCATAAGCCACCTGGGTGTCTATTTTTTTGTAAAATGTATAGTTTAAGTTTGTAATGCCTGTAATTAGTCTGTTTATAGCCGTGTCAATATTTTATGTTTGAGTATGTGGGGATTTTTCTTATTGGAGTTTTATAATAGATGTGACCCAAGTTGATTTGTTTGTGCTGATGTTGTGTTGAAAGCTTGTTTAAAGAAACCCGTATCAGTGCGACATTTCTTTTGTGGTACAGTATATATTTAATCTTACCACGTTTTTTTATGGCAGAATATGTGTTCTTTTATTTATGGCAAGATTTGCCTAAATTGCTGACAGCTGAAGGGATGGTCTAAATCCATGAAGGAAGCAAATGTACTGTAAGCCTCCATGGTCCCTGGTGATCTACCTTCAGTTGTTGGCAATCCATAGCCGGTTTTAATATTGTATTGTCTTTTGTAGTATATATCTGTAAGATAAGCACACTAGTTTTATATTCATAACTAATATTCTAGTTGATTCACTGTCCTTCGTTGACAGGAATTTAATATTTGTCATGTATTTATAATGAAATATGTCTGAAATATTGCCGATGTGACTATAAACCTGACCTCACTCACTCACTCACTCCAGTATCATGCCACAGACACCTTTGAGGAAATGATTAATTTTCTTTAAATACTGTTTTAAAATGAAACTCGTCTTCCACTGAAGTTGCCTTTAGAGGGGATTTGTTTAACGAATGTTTAGCCGCGACCTTGTCCGCACTAACAAATATTCCTGGCGGATATACCTCACATTCGTCTCTTTAGGTATGTTATATAAATATGTTCATTCATAGTTTTTGTTTAGTTGTACGCCCTTTTTATACAACAGTAATTTATGATGCTACATACATTAGTTCAAGAAAATCTATTCTTTAAAATGTATGAAAGCAAACATATAATGGCATGTTATTGTATCACTTTTGTTATTTTTCCCCCAGGTATATATTCACAGATACTAGTTTGTTACCCGTTCGTTCAAGACGATGACCAGCTGAATGTTGAGGTGACACAAGAAGGAAAGTCTGTTGCCTTCTAGGATGAATGAAGACTGTTAATACTGCTGTCCAATGCGTTTTTGAAACCACAGCAAAACAGTGACTGGGGTATACGCCATCAGAAACTGCGTACCCTGCCGCAAGAGCCTAAGATACGTGACATCATGCACCTAGGCAAACCAACATGCATGGCGCTTCAAACAAAATGAGGATGCAGAAGAACGGTCTTCTTGTCACAGCTTAAAGAACTGTTTCAGTTAAAGTGCCTAACAAATCTAAATGAGCTGTACACCCTTTTGCTCATTAAAGTCAGATACTCCTTGTTCTTTTCGTTGTTACACTCAGTATATATACACATCCCTCCCCCACCCCTCCACACCCCCTTGTCTTTATGTTCCATTCCTGAATCTGAATGAACAATCTGTATTGAAACGTCGCACTCACGAAATAAAGAAGTTGTTATCCATAAAGACTGTTCAATATTCCCAGCTTCTGAATTACCTCTCAAAGACGTTCCTCGTGGTATCATTAATGCTTCAGTATAATCCTTTCACGTTGTCTTTCTTAAGTTCTTAAACACTATTCCTGAAAGGTATGTATGCATTACATGTATTAGTTGAAAAGCAAAGATTTTAAATGTTTCAGGTCGAAGGGTGTGTCCTGGTGAGTCGATGGCCCGGATGGAGTTGTTCCTCTTCCTGACCACCATGATCCAGAGGTTCAAGTTTGTCCCGGTGGATGGTCAGATGCCTACCTTGGATGCAATCATGGGCATAACGTATTCTCCAAAACCATTCCTTGTAAAAGCCATTCCTAGGATGTAATCATTTTATGTTAATGAGAGAGTAGGATGAGACAGAGAGAGATAGATTAAGATAGGAGATGGAGGGCGAGAAAGAGAGAGGTGACAGGGAGGAAAAGGAGAGAGAAAAATAATGAGAAAGACATATTCAGTCACTTGTGGCTAACACCATAAAATACAAACCATAACACCTTAAACTTCTAATCATGTTACCACATTGAAATACTTAACGGAAACTGAGATCAACTGAAAGATAGATGTAAGTATACCAGAGATCCCCAGATATGTTGGTCCAGACCGTGTATAAATTATATTACATCCCTGAATACTATTCACAACTTACATGCTTTTCTTGCATTTTGAAACATTCTTTTAACGTGAAGCAAGTCTATGAGAGAAGATTCAAATGCACATCTTTCTCGCATAAGCGTTCTAGTGTGTAAAGGAATGTCGCCGTCAGCATGCTTATCACAGGGTTTACTTGCGTGATGAGACTCACACAAAGTTTGTAAAGCAGGTCGATAATCCAGGAACATGATACATATTTTACTCTTTACTTTTGATTAATTTCTCATGAGTGTAATTGTGAATCGTTGTGGCATTACTCATCAAATTCGTTTGATTCTCAACCATTTGGTAACTTTCTTCATGGTATGGACCTGGGGCGGCGGGGTAGCCTAGTGGTTAAAGCGTTGGCTTGTCACGCGGAAGACCCGGGTTCGATTCCCCTAATTGGTATAGTGTGTGAAGCCCATTTCTGGTGTCCCCCGCCATGATATTGCTGAATATTGCTAAAAGCGGTATAAAACCATACTCACTCACTCATGTCATAGACGTATCATGTTAAATTGTTTATTTGGTTTTGTTGGTCAGATTAATATTATATGTGTACTGTATTATTGGAGACTAACAAACACCAAAGCAACATCACTATTTTTGTACTTCTTTTTCTATTTACTAATTTGAGACCAATGTATTGTGATATGAGATCATGTGTTCGTACTGGGAGCTATGCAAATGTTTTCGTTGACCGTCCTTTGACTGAAGACAAGGCTGTATTTGAAGTCTGATTTTCATTTTTCATTGATGAAATGTGTGTTAAAATAACTTCTAATGGTACACATGGTATCCAATTGTTATCATATAAGTTTAGATGTCATCATTATTCATATTAAAGAATCTGCTTCTGACACACAATGAATGTCAAAAATGTTCTTCAAACTTAAGTATTAAAGCATGCGCAGAAGGTTTAATATGTGTAATGTTAATTGCCTATAAAGATGAATCTATGTCACCATATACTTTCTTTGAACTTTAGATACCGAGAAACACGACTACTTCTATTCTGTGGTTACTGAAGCATTGGGACACCAACGTTATTGCTCTTGAGAGAAGGTTCACTTATTGTATGGTTTATGGAGAATGTGGAAGATGGTTGTTATGTAATTGATCATATATTTTGAAGAATAACATATTACTAATAGTATATATTTAACATGCATTAGCTAAACGAGATGACCTAACCAAATTAAACAACGTGTTTTGTCTTATGCCTAACATTTATGATTTTATTCATTACTCTTTATATGCATTACCAAGAGGGGGTATTTAAGTCCATCTAATTCACATAATACTCATATCTACCACCGTTTTTATCGTAGAATATTTGTTCTTTTTATGTAAATGGCTAATATTACGTACAATTACCAGCAGCTGAAAGGATGGTATAACTCCAGCCCACCGGCTCGGGTGACACTGCTACAAAGAGGCGTACATCAGACCGTATTGCCCTCGAGAAGCATTCCAACATCTTCAAAATGGTCCCGTGTAGGTCTATGGTACTCACCTGATGTCTTGTCTGGTACCGTATGCACTTCATGGAAACAGAGTAGGTTTAGTCCAGTGTGATATGCACCTGTCAGTAACAGATACTCGAATCACCTGCAATATGTACCTGATGATGACAGAGAGAAGGCCTACTTTAGTGCAATATGTGCCGGATGATAACAGATAATGGATGTAGTCTAGTGCAATATGCACCTGATGGTAACAGTCACAGAGTCTTGTCTGGTGCAATGGGCACCTAATGGTACGAGAGACTGGACACGGTAAAAACGTACAGACGTATCGCAATAGCTCGGACATCTGCCTTTCAGAGGTGCTTGTCAACTCGCACGAAAATGAGCCTCTCACAACTGTGTCGTCTTCACTCCAACAGAACTAGGTCTAGAACATTTCAGCAGTAATCCGCAATATGTTACAGTGTATACTTATAAACATATCGTGGGTTCACATTGTTTGTAACACGTACGATTTGAGGAGTGGACAGAAGCAGACAGTGGTGATATATTGACCTTGATTTGATTTAAACATATTTTATTCACAAATGTGAAAGGGATTGTGGACAAGTTATCAACTTAAATTACCAGTTCCCTAATATTTACATACATTTTCAATTATATACATCTAGGAAAGAATAGAGAGAAGAGATAGGAAAGTAAATGCAAGAAGAGGTGAAGGGACACAACTTATGTGAGCACTCAAAATGTTTGATTGATGAATAAAAGTTTGCACACATTTGAAAACGTATTCATTCTGTTGAATAGTCATATCAGGACTTCCAAGTAACATTAATGAAAATCAATCAATCAATCAATTAATCTTTATTCAATACTCAAAGGCAACAGGCCTATAGTACAATATATAGCAGTACAATATAGAACTTTTTTATTCGATATTAATATTATGTTTTCATACAATGACGTTGACGTTTCGACGATGCTCGATGGCGATTATTCTTTTCTGAGTTTCATAGCATGACATACAAACATAGCAACATTCTGAATCATATCATGGTTGTTGCAGTTTAATAAGGAATGGAAGTTATCTATAGATGGATGGACATAGTAAAATTCTTTAAGATACTTAGCTTTCTACGTAGTTTATCATATAATGGGCATACGAGGAAAAAATAATATTAATTTTCTAAGACATTAATTTTGCATGATTTACATAAGCTATCTTCTCTTTTATCTTCATAAATCAATCCACAAATCATGTGATGAGAAGCGAAAAGGTGCTAAACTTACTTTATTTTTATCGTGACACATGATATAATGCTCAGTATATATGTATGGTTTAAAAGATGAATAGTAATCAAATTTCGTAGAAAAGGAAAACGTGAAAACGTATTCATTCTGTTGATAATCATATCAGGATAACATTAATGACAATGCGATTGGAGAGTCACGTTTTACTATATTTTTTACATTTAACATTAATATCTCTCTTTGAATGTACAGTTTACATTCTAATAGTAACTGATGTACATTTTCACAAGCATTGCCACAGTAACAAGAAGCAGAATCGTTCATGTTGAAACGATATAGATCATAATTTAGCTGACTAGTCATATAAAAAACAAAACAAATGAATTCCTTCTTAAATAAATCATAGTGTAACTAAATAATTTGGTCATTTGACAATAAAAGGTGACTGAATGTTTTATACTTTATTTATTTTAGATCGCGTTAAATAACTTGTAGAGAAATCAGTACACAAGTTCACATCACACATGATTCCAGAGAGAGAAAGTTTATGAAATTCTAGTAGGGTTGGGTATTGCAGAGAATTTTCATATTGCGATATACTGCGATGTGAAAGCATATATTGCTATATGTATTGCAATATAATGCAAGAATTTAATTTTAACACAAAAAAACTACTTATATTCGAGTTAATAATGATTGATTTATAAACCAAAAATAACCAAAATCACTATACTTGGTTAAATTTTAATAAAAAAATTAATCATGACAAACTAAATAATATTTGGCACAAATGAAAAAGGAGAATAACAATTTAACATGAATTGAAACAGTGGTTAATAGTTTGAACTAGTTTCTCCACTCTCAGATAAAGGCCTGAAATTTCAGAAAGCAACATGACCAGGTTAGGACACATCAGAAGTCATAAGACTTCCGAGTGAGCGTATCGCAATACCTATCGATTTTATGTCTGAACCTGTAAATACCGGTAATCCGGTTATATTGCGCAGCCCTAGACTATAATTTATGAAAAGCATTAAATTGCAAAATAAGCAAGCCAATCTGATCTCTAATGCTCAGGAATTATTACCACTTATATGACAATAGTTTGAGAAGAGTGTTCAAATCTACAGTCGCGCGCATGATGCTTAATGCGCTTCTTAAAAGGCTTGAAGCGACATCTGCATGTTCATCTTTTGTTATATTGATGTAAAATATGTCTTTGTAGTGACACCCGCGACGAAGGAACTTACATTTGTTCAGAAAATGTTCAAACCTGCATTGAGAACACAACACCAATTGTAATCCAAATACTTGTTTGATCGACTTAGAAGATGCCGAGTTCTTGTTGATGCATAGAGGGGCGTTTCCATGTATATTCTCACACCGTTATCAAGATAAAAGTTACTACAACTAGGTGAATTGAAGTATATATGCATAGTGAGTGAGTGAGTGAGTTATGAGTGAGTTAATATTTATGAATATGATCTGTATCGTTTCAACATGAAAGATTCTGCATGAAACATGATCTGTATCGTTTCAACATGAAAGATGACAATGATTATGAAAAGGTACATCAGTTCCTATTAGAATGTAAACTGTACATTCAAAGAAACTAAGTTATATCATATCGGCAATATTGCAGCCATATCGCGACGAGAACAATTCATTTGATGTCAATATTTAAATTACGAAATGTAAAACATAAAAACGTGTCATCGAAGGACAGTAAAAATACTAGACTATGAAAGCTCTTAGTTTAAAACTAGTACACTATCATAAAATTAAATCACCAGAGACAAGAGTACAATATAAAAAGCGGGCTTTAGATCATCAGCAACTGAGGTTGATCACCATACTAGGGAACATGTGACAAGCATCAGATTAAACACAACAACAAGAACAACAACAGCAACGGGTAATTTAGCAAGTAGCACACCGTTGGATGGGGCCAGCGGGAGAGTAAGATCAACAAATTGTAAACAGGCTGATTGAATGCTGATTGAATGCTAATTGAACAGCTGACAGATTCTATCTGTAAATCAACTTCATTATGACGAAGTCGAAATCCACTCCATTGTCCAAGTGATGGAATCAATCAACATTCAGTCAGCTTGTTTATCCTGAACAATGTACATCGAAATGCTGCTTTATGCAATAAACAGGGAGTTATTATCACGCAAGTGTTAGGTTTCGTTATGTACCCCCATACTGTTTACTGCAGTATAATTGAGATCTGATTCAGTTTGCGAATAACCAATCTTTTGAAGTTGATTTAAGTTCTACTTTAGAAAACTGCTTTCTAACAAATAGATCTCAGATTAAAACATCTCATTCCAAATTCTTGTAATCCTATTTCTGTTACTAAGAAATATTTAATCTTTACATATTAGATATAAACCTACCGGTACCAGTTTGACGTGTATGGTCATGAGTTAATTAACATAGTGATTACATATTTCTTATCATTACATGTGTCATTAAAGCGTCACTTATGCCATTATTATCTTCTCTGATCCATTTCAACATACAGCATTTTATTTCATTTAATGTTTTGAAGCTCATTTGATAACATGAAAAATGTTACTGTTCCAGTTCATTTTGAAGTGTGAAATTATTTTCGTTCTTCAAGTGTTCCAACCAATATAGTCATTATGATTTTTAATAACTATCAATTTAGATGTTATATATGAGCTGGGAATATTGAACAGTCTTTATGGCTAACAACTTCTTTATTTCGTGAGTGCGACGTTTCGATACAGATTCTTGATTCAGATTCAGGAATGGATCATAAAGACAAGGGTGGGGAGGGTGTGTGTGTGTGTGTGTGTATATATATATATATATATATATATATATATATATATATACTGAGTGTAACAAAGAAAAGAACGAGGAGTATCTGAGTATAATGAGCAAAAGGGTGTACAGCTCCTTTAGATTTGTTAGGCACTTTCACAGAAACAGTTCTTTCAGCTGTGACAAGAAGACCGTTCTTCTGCATCCTCATGTTGTTTGAAGCGCCATGCATGTTGGTTTGATTAAGGCACATGATGTCACCTCTTTTAGGTTCTTGCGGCAGTGTACGCAGTTTCTGATGGCATATACCCCAGTCACTGTTTTGCTGTGGTTTCAAAAACGCATTGGACAGAAGTATTAACAGTCTCCATTCATAATAGCAGTAGTGAATCCAATATCACGAATAACCATCCTGGAAGGCACCAGACGTTTCTTCTTGTGTCATCTCAACATTCAGCTGGTCATCGTCTTGAACGAACGAGTAACAAACTAGTAACTGTGAATGTTAACCTGGGGAAATAATGAAAAAGTGATACAATAACATGCCATTATATGTTTGCATTCATACATTTTAAAGAATAGATTTTCTTGAACTAATGTATGTAGCATCGTAAATTACTGTTGTATAGACAGGGCGTACAACTAAACAGAAATTATGAATGAACATATTTATAAAACATACCTTAAGAGACGAATGTGAGGTA